ACCACTACGTGAAATTCTACCGGTACCGGTTGACCTGTATACTAGTCGATATGAACTTTCTCAAAACCGGTAAAATATAAAGTGAAGAAAAATAGATAAATCGAAAAGTCTGGACATTGTAGAACTTGAAGAGCGTAGACCATCGACGCATAGAGTCGCCTACAACATAGTTACTTTAGTTTGGGTTTTTGAAGATATCTTCAAAGAACTTTTTCAATCTCCCTTTTTTTTGGATTTTGTTAGATGTTTTCATTACTGTTGTAATGCCGAAATACGCACCCAACATCTACATCAGAGATAGAAGCGGATCATCCAAGCTTGCCTTCAGCCGGACCCACCGTGACCGGATCATTTCTGATCAACATAGCATATAAATAGCAAAAGAAATGAAGTGATTTAATGAATGCAGAGCTTGATGTATTTTTTAAAATGAGTATAGCTTCTCATATCTTGATTTTTCGCCTTCAAGTTAGGAAAAAGTATGCAAAAAATCAAAATGTCATACTAGCAAAATACCGGTGGACCGGTATGGTAATCATACTGATACCGGACCGGTAACCTCGGTAAAACACTCTGGACTATTCTATCATGTTTTTATCTCAAGATCGACACTACTGAGAAAAGTTGTCTTTTTTAAGAGAGTTAGTTTTAAAAATAGACAAATAATACCGAAGTTTGCATTCGGACATAGAAATCCGTAGAATACCTGTATTATTGGTTACACAACAAGAATTAATTTTTACCAACAGCTATAAAAAAGTAATTGACAATGAAAAAAATATTAAACAATTAGTTTACATCTATCATTAAATGGACCTGCTTATCATAAAATTCAAAAGATTCTATACAAAAACCATAAAGTAGGGACGGTAAAGGTAAAAATTTGTTTATGATTCTGTGCACAGATTTGTTAGTTCTTTATTTCCTCAACAACATTTACATTATGCCTGCAACTATTGGAAAGAACACGAAATATTTGTTTTAGTATTTATTTTATGAACAAATTCTTATTAATTTAGACAGCTTTACGCACCAAGTTTTCAAGAATAAAATGTAATGAATAATAAAATATAATTTGTAGAGAATTCATGAATAAATACATGACATGACCTAAACGATTATAATATATAATGCGAAGTCACTCTATATTATTAGATATGTCACTTATATTTTTATGATATCGAAATAATCATTTTTCCAAAGCAGAGGGAGCGAACTTAATCACCTTTCAATAAAACTGAATAGAGCAAACGCTTTTTTTCAGCATAGAAGGCGTTCTGACGAACGCGTTCAATAGTAGCTCAGGTTGTCGCTATATAACCAGGTATTAGTTCTTGCCACAAAAAGGTATCCGAAGGTATGCGTTCATGCTGCTGAGAAGACGTTTACACGTGTGTCTAACAAGGAAAGACTTCAACGGGATGAACGTGCTTTGAGGATTGAGTTGTTATACAAACGCATTGTGTCCCAAATCGAACAGAAATTTTCTTTGCTTGAAATTCGCAGATGACGAGCCCAATTTTCAAGAAAGTGCTAAATGTAGAACACTAGAAATTTCTCAAACCGGTATCCCAACCTGAGAACTTTGGATTCTACATTTTAGTAGTACAACGTTTTTGAAAACTAAACTTATCATCCGCAAATTTTAAACAAAGAAACTTTTATTCGGCATTTTTTGACTAGATTCGGGTTCTACACTAAGTTTTTCATAGATTCAGTCTCTTTCGGATAGTACTTAAACGTACTATCCGCGCGTCTTCACACGTCGGTTTTACTTGATTATGGACAAGCGATAGCAAGTTCTCATGAGAACTTCTTATTAATTCAATTCGATCAGACATGATCGATTTCACGAAATATTTTTGAAAAAATCTTTTTGAATTCTCTGGTAGCTGTTCTTTAGTTATTATAAAATGGCAGAAATTACTATCCAAGAACGATCATAAATGTGTTCGTCGGTTTAAGATTGCCGTTCGAACTGGTTTTGATTAGAAGATCTTTTCAACGGGTATTACATCAGGAATATGGAGAAATTGGGCGGTTGACATGTCGTCAGAGTCACCACATTGGACGGATACTCGAGCTACTATTTCAGTTTTAAGTCAAATCAAACAGAGAAAGATAACGAGCTAACTATTAGATGAAAAAAAAAACTTGTTATCGGATTTCACTTATACATGTGCTTTCTAGTGCAAGCAAGCACCTTACAATACAAGCGTTATTGAACAAAAAATTAACTTGACTGTTAAAAAGTTGATGAGTTACCTTTATATAGGCTTTTGTTACATTTAAGAGTAAGTATTATTAAGAAGTTTGTTTTCGGAGGCGAAATACAATTGATGAATGACTTATTGTCAAAAACATACAGAGAAGAACATTCAGATGTAGAAAAGAACAACTCTTGAAAAAAATCTTATGTGTGAGAGTGGATCATTGACATACATACAAATACTTTTATTGTATAAATGCGGACAATAAATATTCCCATCATTTATAGAATCGAATTCCAGTGACTTTGAGTATAAAAACGTTTAATAAACATAAGAAGAAAAGAAGAAAAAAAATTGTTATACATCGCAACCATAGTGAAAACAATGTTCTAGTATAAACACATATTTTGATCGATCATATACAGTTTAAAGAAAGAAAGGAGAAAAATCTTAGTGCTGCACCTCAAAGTACGTAATAAGTATTTTCATACAGTAGTCGACAAAAGTATTTACCCTGTACTCAACGATGTTCTGCTCTTGCTGACTAAAATATTACAGCCATCTTAAGAGCCACAATCATATTAATCATTTTTCACAAACTAGTCCTAACTCGAACTAGAAATATCTTTTTGACAGTTAGAATCTGAATCAAATATGGCTTGAACAATAATAGAACATCGTTGATGCGGCGAACAGGAGAGTTTATCACTCTGTCTCTTTAGCATAGTATGGACATTAGACACTATATCCATGCAAAGTTATAAGCATAATCTTCTGTATTGAAAGGCAATACAAATATCGAATGTGAATTTTTTTGACTGCTTATTATCATAATCTATTAGAAGTCAACACGTGAAATTTACGAGTAGCTACTATTTATCGCTACATTCGAGTGTTTTTGCGTACTAGAGGTAGAAATTCTTCACATTTTAGTGATAAAAAAGTAAGAATAACGTCATGAACTTCTTGACGTTATTCTTACAAAAACCACGAAATGAAACTGGTTGACACTTGTTAAGTGATTAGCATATTGTTTCCATTATATATCCATATAAAAATTCAAATCAATAATTACCATGCTTGATAAAATATAGAATGGTTAGGACACTTTTATTCGCTACTTTATTAGAAAAATCCTGCTGGTTACAGCTAGTTAACGCCGGTCATATAAGTAGAAACCAAAATTTTAAGTTATGAATTAGAAAGATATTTATATTTACATTCCGATTATTAATGAACAGCCCTCATTTACAGAACAAATAACAAAAATAATAATAGAAATAGTTTATAGGAAACAGAAAAGAAAAATACCCTATACAAACCTGATTCACTTTCGAATTTATTGTTTGCATGATTGAAAAGTTCAAAACAATCGTCTTGAAAAAACAGACAGATAAAATTTATGAACTAACTTACAGCTGCTTAGCTGCTAAACAATATCCAACTATGCCTACCATCGCTAAAGTGATTTTTCGTCCAGTATGCTGGCCTGATGCAGAGTTCTTACGCTCAATTACTTGAGCTCCCCATACACACTTCACTAAACATGTACGAGCTTTCCGGAAAGCCACGACGACTAGCCGAAGAAGCTGTATTGTACGCCACAGTGTAGTGAGTATGCTGTCAAACAAGTGATCCGAGGCGCTAAGACACAAATAACTTGCGCAAAGTTATTACATAACTTTTCTAGCGCCGAGGTTCGAGCACAATACCTTTGAGGTACGTGACCGACAACATAACTATCAAGCCATAATATATCAGATATAGATATAAAGCTCGTTTAACTACTACCTTTATTCGATAGTTTGACGATGTGATAATTATCGGAAAGGGCACTTTTACTAAAGAATTTTGATATATTATATGGAAACAGGACCAAAAAACTTATGAAAATTGACTGTTTTTCATTGTAGATATATAAATTTTCTACGATAAGCAAAACTATAGCTAGAAATGTTGTCGGATGAAACAATTTCAAACATAAAACTATGCCGTAGTAACCGCCAAGAACCAAATACTGTGCCGTTTATTGTTTCTCAAAATCAAACACAATTCACAGAACCACAGAGAAATAAAATCGATCGTACACCATCATCACGATCCTCAAAATCAGCAAATGATGCTAAAAAACGTGCAGTTAGCGATGCCTGTATGGCAGCGGCTATCGGAGATTTAGATTGGCTAAGACAAAGTTTAAAAGATTTTTCCGTAGAAAATACCTACGGAAAAGAGGTAGAAAATGAATTGAACAATGTATGATGCACATGAATTTTTGATATCGATTATTTCTAGGGACTGGCTCCCATTCATTTAGCAGCACTACATGGGCGTCTCAATTGTCTTTCATATCTTATTGAAATGGCTCAAGTTGATGTAAATATGGCAAGTATGACAGGATGGCGACCAATTCATTTATGTATCAGCAAAGAAACAGATAAAAGAGCGTATCAATGTTTAGAATATTTAATTAAACATGGAGCATCAGTGAATATGTGAGTGAGTAAATAACTTAAGCAAATTGTTTTACAGATCGAGTTAATTATAATCAAGTTTGACTGAATATTAGTAAAAATTTATGACACGATCTAAAAAATGTGTCCTCCATTTCAAAATTCTTGAACGTACGTACTATTATATGAATATTTTATCAATTATTTTAGTACAAATGATGATAACCTAACTCCTATTCATCAAGCAGCCTCCGATGGCCATGTTCAATGTTTAGAATTATTATTAAAATATAATGCGAACGTTTTCGTAGAAGATTCTCGAAAACAATTGCCAATTGATTTAGCGAAGTTATGGGGACAAAAAAAATGTGCGAAGTAAATAAAGTGTAGTAGAATCCTCTGAAGTATAAAATCATACTTAATTTCTGTAACATTTGATAGATTACTAGCTGCAACAATGTGGCATCAGAATAAACATTTATCGACTAAAGATCGCTTATTAGCCAAACAATCAAAAATGCAAGATATTCTAAATGAAATTAGACTCGAACACGCTCTACTTTTTGAAGAAGAAGGAGAGGTATACTATTATATATAATTAAGTAAAATTAGTACCTTGTCAAAATTCTGTACATTTTTGCACCTATACAGTTAGAGTAAACTCAATCACATCGTATTCTAAACAATTGTGTGTTACGTTGTACACTTCAACATATTTTTCACTACAATTGCGAAATTCAATAACTCTCTTTGATCTATCTTAGCTGTTCTGAAAAATATAATTAAATTAAATATTTTAAACTAGGAAAAATTCGATCAATTGCTTGTCAATATGGGTGCTGCACCATCGGAAAAAATCGACAATAAAACACAACAAATTATTGAAATAAAAGAAAAACCACTTACACCAGATATCCGATCGGCCACTAAACGAGGTACGATGCGTAATGTCAATCAAACTTCAATGACAATTATATATTTTGATATTGAATCTAGAGCATTCAGAAATAAAATTATCTAGGCCAAAAACTACAAATAATATTGTCGATCATGAACATTTATTAAATCAGCACGAGTCTAATTTTCGTCCAAAGACTACCATAGGAAAAAAGACAGCTTTAATCAGTGCCATCAATACAAAACGATGGGATTATTCGACTCATGTTAAAGGAAATGCTTATATACCAGGATTAACCGATGTTTATCCAAGAGATCCTTATACAATGATGCCGAAAGATAATGAAGCTGTAGATATCTACAGAATGTTGAAAGGTAGAAATACTGTGTGTTATTTTAATGCAAGACTGTTAATCATAACAGAAAGAGGACATTGCACTATTATTCTTCATTCAAAAAATGTTTATGTTTTTAAATTTGTGAGCAATAACGTCAGCTGGTTATCAGACCACTAAACTTCCTATGTAAATTGACTAAAAATAGAAAACTAAACCTCTGGTAAACAGCTTTTCACTTCTACAAAATCATATATTAATAAATTTAGCGAAAAAACACTTTTGAGTGTTTGCTGGTATAGAAGTAAATTGCATTCTACCGTTATTTTGTAAAATTATTTTTGATATACGTTAGTATATCGTGAACTAATGAAATCAAGATTAGCATCGATACATAAAATACTTACATCAATAATCAATTAACGTGTTAACGTTTATATTACTTTTTTTCTCTATTATCAAATCGTTATGACTAGGGATGTTAATTTAATGTAATTTTAGAAAATAAATATAAATTCGTCATTTATATCTAAAACATTAATATAAATAAATGAAAAACAATTTAGTTTTATAAAATAAAAGTAAAATAAAGAAATAAAGATTTTATTTTTGCTGCTTTCATGTGAATTAACAATCAGCGAAAGCTTAGTATGTCATCGTTGATGCTCTCATCCCTCACTTTAAATCATGAGCTGATTATTCATCTTCAATTGTCCGAATAAGTGGTTTTAAGTCATGGTAAATTACCCAAATCCACTAAAAGTAGCCTGGTTAGAAAAGAGAAGATTAAATAGAATAAGCGCAGCGAGTTCAGAGAAAAAATCATGTTCGCAAACGTGGAATACCAACTAGTCATTTATTACTTTATTGTTTGAAATTATGTCTATAGTTCAGGTGCTGTCAATCAGAAACATCTTCTAAACAAAGTACTTCGTCTGAATAGCAACAAATTCTATAGTCTTAGAACATTCCACATCTACTGCATATATTCCATAAAATAAAACCTTTATTTTTTTTATTTTATCTTTATTTTATAAAAATAATTTTCTTTTTCAGTTATTTATATTTATTTCTAAAATACAAATGACGAATGTATGTTTATATTTATTATTATAATTGAACAAATAAAACTAAACTAACATCTCTAGTTATGACTGTTGCAACTTTACTACGCTGATTAAATTTTTCATATAGCTTGTTTAACTTACGACTGAAAAAGTGTACATTGAGTAGAAAGATTAGACGTTGTAATCAAATGACTGAACAAGTTTTCATTTTAGGTATGACAGTAAGCGATGTACGCGAATTTTTATCAAAAAAAATACGTAAAACAAAGTCATTACCTTCAAAGACCCGTTCATCCCGTCCAGTTCTCTTTGCGCCTTGTCATGTTGATGATTTGGAAACAAAACGTTCAACATTGAATGATGAAACAAAATATTTTCGATTTGATGAAAGTGGATGTCATTTGAGCGATGATTCAGAATCCATATATTATAGACGTTTAAGTCAAACATTAAAACAACAAGTGCCAAAAGAAAATCAAACAAATGATGATGAAGAAAAATTTCAATTATTTGAACGATATGGGCCAGAATTAGTCGCGTTTCTCAGAGATCGAAAAGGAAATTTTAAACGAAAATTTGATAAAGTTTTTATTACGTGACATTGAGACTTCTAATGTGTATGCGTATATATTCGCCCATTTAGTTTTGTTTATATCTGTCTGTATTTTTATTTTTAATCAAAAATAAAACCAAATCACAAAACTTTGTTAATTATATTATTACACAAAACGTCGTCTTACAGTTCTTTTTATACAATCAATGAAAATTTCTCGATAACTAAACAAGAAACAACGTATTCTTCTAACTTTCCTTCTATTCAGCTTGTCTCAGGCACTATCCGATTACTAATAATGTTTGTTTTATATCAAATAAATGTCAAAGAAAAAACTTACGATGTAATGATATGACGAAAACGAGTATTATTAAAGATTGCGTGGTAATACATTGGAGGCAAAAATACAGTCATCCATCCTATCCACAAACCACCAGTTAAACAAAACACATAAAAATCATTATCGTTGATTTCATTTGACTTCAGTTTCTCTTTACCAATAATGATCTTTTTGTTAATAACAATGTGAGCAATGCTAGTGAATGTAATAAGTGATAGATTCCTGCTAAACTAAAAACCTAAAATGGTAAATAAAATCAAACAGCCACTGATAATATAACAAACTTTAAATGTTTCATACTCGTTTTAGGTCTTCACTTTCACTTTGTCCCATCACATGACCCTCATAACAAAACAAAAATGATCATTTCAGAGAATTTCTCTTATCTGAATACAGAAACACTATAAACTACATATGGATACTCAAATTTAACTTAAACGAATATGAACACGACATACTAACGATCGTATATGATTATAATATTGCTAAATTCCATCTAACTTCTTCGAATCTTAACTTGTATGTACAAACGGTCTGTTGAAAATCAAAAGCACACACACTTCGAACAAGTACAAGCCTGTATATATATATATATATACATATATAGTCGAGAAAGATAATGTAGTATGAAAACATGACGTAATATAAACAAGGATGTCACGGAAAGACATGGTGAGATTTCCTAACAAGGAAATGGTTCTTTTATATCAATGCAATGGCTATGTTGTAGCGTCTAGGGCCATTTTGGGTCCCAAGACCTAACAACTATTATGAAGAACTTAGATTATCTTTCAATCATGGCCAGTACTTCTTAAAAACATCGAATTTTTTCATCGCGGATTCTTCCATTATAGAATCAATTCCTTAGTGGAAATTAGAGTTGTTTCAGTTTTCATGTTAGATCATAGTGACAAGTCCGCTTATGGGCATTTCTGAAATACCCAGACACCTACCAACGCTCAAAAAGACGTCAGTATCTCTCTATCTTTATAATTTAGTCGATATAAAGGTAATCCCATACTGAGAGGCGAGTAACTGTTAGCTCCGGTTATTTTTGAGTATTAGTAGCTCTTAGTGGGCGTTAGCGTATTCTACAAAGACCCTCCGCTTGTTCACTGTGGTATCCAAAATACTGGCGATAACTTTGAGCTACAGTGATTTATTTCAATTATTTCAAGTAAAAATTTTTTAGTAAGCGTTGAAAGTATACGATGAACAGATAAGACCAGTGCCATTTTGTAGACCGCTAAAGTCTGCATAAGATGAATGATAAAAATATTAGAAAAAAGAGTTTCAGAATATTTTCAAAAATCTGATAAAAAGAAGAGAGAAATTGATAATCATATGTCAAAGTTGTCGGTGATGAAAAAACGTTTTTTGCTCAAGTGAAACTTAAGTAAATGAAAACTTGAGTTCTAAAAATGAGAGAAATTATAAAAAGAAATATTCGTGAAAAATATGGTCGTTTCCTTAGTATTAGGGAAGCCATAAAAAATAAGCCTACACGTAGATATAGATGAATATCGTTCTCTGCTTTTGCTGAATCAAAGAAATCGAATACATTTCTATGTACAGAATAGAACAAATTTTCATTTTTTATTGTCGGTAATACAATCTAACATAATTTAAAGCTGAACCGTATTATTTCTATTTTTAAGTCTCAATTATACATATATATCCGTTTTCAAATCAAATAATCTATTCGGCTACTTCCTAAATGCGGTCGAAATTTAAGCCAATTAGTATAAAAGTGGACGCAATTTGGAACGAGTAAATTTCTATGATTCTGCGTTTCCAAATTGCGGCCACTTTTTAATTAGTGAGTAATCAACAATCGTAATTTAAAATATA